TAAGGAAGGGAGATCCAACGGGCAGGTTCAGGACATTAGGACCTACACTCTGGGTCCCAGGAAAGACCCTCTCCTGGATTTTTGAGTTCCCTTCTTGTGGCTTCCTCCTGTTTTTGAGCTTGATGTCTGTAGGTCACCTTGCGGGACTCTCCCACTTCTGTTCTCATTCATTGGCTCATCCGTGTGCTGTGCACTCAGCAGTGGCCTGCTCTGTGCCTGCACTGGGTTAACCTCACCTGTGCTCCCCCAACACTGTCCCTCCCCAGGGCACATTTGCCTCCCAGGTGACGATGGAAGGGGACAAGGTGAAAGTGGAGCGGGAGATCGATGGGGGCCTGGAGACCCTGCGCCTGAAGCTGCCTGCCGTGGTGACCGCTGACCTGCGGCTCAACGAGCCCCGCTACGCCACGTTGCCCAACATCATGGTGAGTGCTTGGCAGATGGGCCACTGGGGGCCCGGGGACGGGTGAGGGCTGCAGGCCCAGTGCCTCCCTGGTGGTCAGGTGGGAGGAGAGAGGACCCAAGGGACGTCTTCTCCAAAGGAAGGGGTCACCTGGTCAGTGTGACTAACAGAGCGGGTTCACTGAATCATTTCTGCCAATAGTGAGAGTTCGGGGTTGCGGGGGGTGGCTGTTTTGGCGAACAGTGAGGGTTTGCTGGTTACCTCAGCCAATAGAAAGGCTTCACTGGACTCTAGGAAGGGTTCCCCTGTCATTCCAACCAATGGGGAAAGTTCACTGCATACTCTTAGCCAAATAAGGAGGATTCATTAAGTCATCTTGGTTTTGTCAGGGAAGGTTCCCCCGGTAATCATTACCAACAGGAAGGCATCATTTAGGCCATCATGGCTAACAGGAAGAGTCCACTGTTCATCATGGCTCTAAAATGGGTTCATTGGGTCATCTCAGCCAATAGGAAGAGAGTTCAATGTATCATCTCAGGCAGTACGGAGGGTTTAGTGTGTCATCTCAGCCAATAGCGTTTAACGTGTCACCTCAGCCAATCGGGTGAGTTCAGTGTATCATCTCAGCCAAAATGGAGAGTTCAGTGTGTCATCTCAACTGACAGGGGGCGTTCAGTATGTCATTCCATCCAACAAGGAGGGTTCATTGAGGCGTCTCAGCCAGTAGGTGAGTTCAATGAGTCATCTCAGCCAGTAGGAAGGTTTCAGTGTGTCATCCTAGGCAATAGGGAGGGTTCAGTGAGTCATCATCTCAGCCAACAGGGAGAGTACAGTTGGTTATGTTGGCCAAAAGTCTATTGAGTTATTATTGCCAGAAGAATGACTTTGCCAGTCCGTTCCAGCCAGTGAAGGACTTCCCACGGCGGTTGACTAAAGGTGGGCTCCCGCGCTAGGAGGGCTCCCCAGGGCATCCCAGCCAGCAG